TGGCGAGCGCGGTCTCCTCGGGAGAGCCCCGAGCCCGGGGGCGGCGGCGGGAGGGAGCGTGGTGTGTGCCCAGCGCCCAGCGTAGCGGCACGCTGCGCAAGGGCTTTTCCCTTAAAAACTTGGTGCTGAGATTGCAAGTTGTTTGTGTTACTGCAAATAATTTGACTCCTGAGCCCGCCCTGAAGGCCGCGGCTGTGGCAAGAACCCCCACCCAGCCCTGACCAGGCACGCTGCGGGGTGGTGGGTGTGCGCACGGCTGTCCTGACTGCCAAGGGGGCAGCGGTTGTGCGTACATCCATCTTGACTATAAGGGTGGTGGCATGTGTACGTACGGCTGTCCTGACTGCGAAGGGGGTGACGGTTGTACATACAGCTGTCCTGACCATGAAGGGGGTGACGGTTGTTCATACAGCTGTCCTGACAGGGAGGGAGGTGGCGGGTGTACGTACGGCTGTCCTGACTGGGAAGGGGGTGACGGTTGTACATACAGCTGTCCTGACAGGGAGGGTGGTGGCGGGTGTACATACGGCTGTCCTGACCAGGAAGGGTGACGGTTGTACATACAGCTGTCCTGACAGGGAGGGTGGTGGCGGGTGTACATACGGCTGTCCTGACCAGGAAGGGTGACGGTTGTACATACAGCTGTCCTGACAGGGAGGGTGGTGGCGGGTGTACATACGGCTGTCCTGACCAGGAAGGGTGACGGTTGTACATACAGCTGTCCTGACAGGGAGGGTGGTGGCGGGTGTACATACGGCTGTCCTGACCAGGAAGGGTGACGGTTGTACATACAGCTGTCCTGACAGGGAGGGTGGTGGCGGGTGTACATACGGCTGTCCTGACCAGGAAGGGTGACGGTTGTACATACAGCTGTCCTGACAGGGAGGGTGGTGGCGGGTGTACATACGGCTGTCCTGACCAGGAAGGGTGACGGTTGTACATACAGCTGTCCTGACAGGGAGGGTGGTGGCGGGTGTACATACGGCTGTCCTGACCAGGAAGGGTGACGGTTGTACATACAGCTGTCCTGACAGGGAGGGTGGTGGCGGGTGTACATACGGCTGTCCTGACCAGGAAAGGGGGTGTCAGCTCAGGCCAGGGATCTCTTCCACAGGAGTGTTCTGGGTTTTGGCAGGGGCTGTGTGCGTTAGAGAAGGCAGAACAGCACGCGGCTGCCGGAAAATGCTGCCTCTAGGAAAAAAAAATCAACCATTCCTTTGGGCAAATTTAGCCAGATTTGTCTGCAAATTATAGTAACCCAAGTAATGAATTAGCATGAGATTCAATACACTTTGGAGAGCAGCAGAAAAAGAACGTGTCTGTCCAGATGTCACAATATTTGTACATTGCTTCCAGTGTTTTGAAAATAAAACTGCAGCAGGAAAAACAGGGGAAAGGGAGGTGCCCTGACTCGGCGGTGCAACGGCGAGGGCCGGGTCTCGTGTCAGTGCGATAAAACAGGTGTTTCAGGGCAAAACCAGGCCCTGATCACCCATATTTATCGTAAAACACAGCCTCTTCCCAAGCAGAACGCAGAGGGCAGAACGCAAAACCAGAACAGAAACTTCGTAGCCTGAAACCCAAAGCAGCCGAGCTGTGGTGCTTGCTAGGCAAAGAAAAGGCTGCTTGACTGAAACCATTCCTCCAGTGTGAAAACTTGGCCTGTCTGATGTTTTTGAAAAACTCCCTCTGCGTTTCGCAGATGTCTGAATTTCCTCGGCCTCCGCAGCGTTGGCGTGGGGCTCGGGGAAGGGAGGCAGCGCCGGCCCGGCCCGGGGCCCTCGGCCCTTCGCAGCGGCCAGGGACGGGGTTTGCCAATCCCATCGAAATCTTTTCTTAAGGGAGTGTGCAGAGAGAGGGAATTATTCCACGCCTAATTTTCTTTTTATAATTACATTACTTGCCATAAGTTTGCAGATTGATCTCACGTACGTATCTTTTCCCCAGTTAAGCATTTTTTTTCTCTCCCTTTATCAACAGGAATTAAAAAAGGGCTCAGGTTAAAATTCGGTGTACGAACACCTGAAATCACGGAGAGGCGAGGCCTGGGACTGAGTGATCTCTGCGGCGATCGCCGAAGCTGCAAAGCCGGCGAAGCGCTGCCCTGTCGCTACCTCTGCGGAGCGCATTTTGAAATGACATTTCATAAAGCCACGCCAAACTCTCACAAAGTGACGATCAGTGTTTTTATTCATACACACTTGCTTGGAAACTACAATTAATATTTAACAAAAGCACTTCATGCAAACAAAGATTGAAGATACCAAGAATTAAGAAAAAAACCCAATGCAGTAATTTATACATCAGTCTTGCCCGCTGTGTTTCCAATGGTTTTTTGAAAAGTGAATGGCGCCTCCACGTTTTCTGGTAGCATCTTGCAGATAAATAATAGCAAAATAATGTTCTGCTCTTCATAAATACAAAACTGGGGTCTTAAAATCATATTCAAAAGTATGAATGAGTTCAAGGTGGTATTACTCCTTGATTGAGAAAAGACAATACTAACAAAGCATGCAGCAATTTTAAATGTTTCAGGTGTAGTCTGTATTATCTTGCAAAATTACATGTTTTGGGAATTGCACAAAAACTTTTTAAAAAAAGAGGCAACAGAGCGCTTCATTTTGTTAAAATGGTTTTTCTTGTATTCCTTTTAATAGCACACCAAAGACTTTGTGGGGAACAATCTGCAGATTCAATCTGTGTTATCCCTGCAAGAGTCTTTACTTCTGCCCCAAGTCAGCAAGTTCCCTTGACTTCTGTGGGATTTGAAGATGTGCTGCACAAACTTACATGCTTTGCTAAATGCGAATGGCACACAATATTTTGCTGAATTGGGGCTTACAGGCTTAGTGCTGCCGGACACCGGCTCCTCCAGCCTTGGCTCCAGTAAAGCAAGGAAGCGTATACCGAGCTCGAAGCGTTCAGCAGTTCCACTGAATTCCTTCACAGGCCAAGACCAGAGCACCTGCACCTCCGGAAGGACTAAGCCATAACGTAATTGATGTAAGTAATATTGCCTCTGAGTAACTGGTGTACCGATCCAAGTAGTTCTTAGGAAGAGGTTTATAAAGATCAACCCTAATTTGACTTTTTATTAAATTGTTTCTTTCACCTACGTATGACTATAAAAAGGAAGTAACATCGGCTGCAGATTTTCCAATATATCCTGCAGGAAGGAACAGATGTGTGGCCAGATCTGCTTCCATTGGTGCGGGCTGGAAACAGGGGCTGCAGACTGCTCCCATCCGCAGCCTGCTCGGATGCGGACTGCCGTCAGCAGCAGAAGGGCCCGCGTTTGGAAGCAGCACGATGCTGCTCTTCGACAGCTCAACTTACTACCAGCGAGTCAGCGAGGCTTCCCTGTTAAAATCAGTTTGAGATCCAGTTCTGTAACTGCAATGGAAGTAGGTTATGGCCAATTATCAGTTTTTGTTATTATTACTCTTCCTACGCTTCATTGTTTAAAATTATTAATGGTCTGTTGATTTTTTTTAGTCAACCAACATCAACGGAAGAAAAAAACATAGCTTCTATGGTGATTTTCCATTACACCTGAAGTATGGTGTCACGCATAAGCAAAGGAAAAGAGGAAGATATATGACACAGGAATAAGTGAAAACTATCCACTGAGTAAAATTGTCATGGATGGACCAGCTGCATAAAGAATGTAACTTCTCCTTTAAAAGAAGTCAGTATAAACATTACTAGAAAACAGCTGTATTGACTTTATTTACCTATGGGGAATCACACCCTACAATAATCGATTCTGCTAAGACTTCCATTTACATGGAGTTCCTTAATCGCACATAGAAATCTCAGTAACTGGAAAAGAGGTAAGAGCATCTGACCTCTACACAATCTGCAAGCAGCACTTCACGCTGCGACCCGGCTCCAGTTAACAAAAGCTAAACTGTACTCCAGGTTCTGTAAGAAACATATCAGATCTGTTCTTTTATTCTTTAAACGGTTTCTGTAGAATTACTAAAGTTATATAAAAAAGTAGAAATAGCATGGTATATCCAGCAACACCATGTGAGTTAAATAAGCTGATTTAATATTAAAAATTATAATAATACTTTTCAGGTTAAAAGTGTATTAGAAACATTAACTAAGAAGTCCTCACGCCTCCTTGTGAGGTAAGTAAGTATTATTACCCCCATTTTACAGATGAGGTAACTGAGGCAGAGAGGTTAAGTAACTTGCCCAAGGCCACCAAGGGCATCAGTGGCAGGGCTGGGGGCTGAGCCCGCGTTGTGCACTCTCAGGCCTGTGCTCCGAGCACTGGAGCACCCCTCCCTCCCTCTCAAGGTTTCCAACGCACAGGAGTGCTTTAGTGCATGCTTATTATTTATTATAAGGCTATTTAATTACCAATCGTTACTGGCACAGTTGTTGGTTGGTATGAAATCAGACATGTTTATGGAGTCAATTCTTATTTAACTCTTCAGTTAACTATTTCAGATCACACTTAAGAGTATGGCGCTGAGGAAGAAAGTGCTTTAGCTTTTATACTTTTTTCTATTACTACTTTGTAGCTCAGTGTCTACCTACGAACAGCACACAGATAATACATTTCCTGTAGCTGACGCTACTTGGAAAGAGACAAAACTTGACGACAATAATTTATGCTAATAACTGAAAGAACTCAAAATCACATGAAATGTTTCCAGGAGTCCTGTGGCAGCTCAGAAAGCCTACGGTAAACTCAACACTGTAAGTATTCCTTCTACTAATATCAAAGACTTATTATTGGTGTTTCCAATGATGTTGTGTTCAATAAGGAGGATCATCTTCCTCTGCTCGCTGCATGCATCTCCTACATTTTACTGTGATTACATCTGGATGCACTGAACGAGAAAATACATACTGCAAGTGGCTTGGCTCAATCCTGAACCTTGGACACGCTATCTTTCCGGCTAGAAAACAAGTTCCTCTCTCAGTTGCCCTTATTAATTTTACAAGAACCCAGTGTTATGTGACTGAATTCACCCTGAAAGACAGGACGGATTGCAAAAGCCCCCAACTTTTATAGATGATGAGTTTCTTTGAAACTAACAGCTGATTTCCAAAACAACTTTCTCCAGATTGTAAAAGGAAATTCAATTATAATTTGGTAAAGTAGGAAGGATCAGAAAGCTAAACTGCATTTCTCCTCTCAATTGGGTTAAGTTGGAGTATTTTATTATAGGAATGTGCTCCGTGCTCCTCAGGCACGTGCAATCCTCGATTAGAGCAACGAGACTGGACAGCAGGTAGCGGGCTGCACTGCAACCCCTGCTCATCTCCCTTCTCCCATGGCCCGCTGTCCCACCGCGGTCACCCGACTGCGGATAAACGCTCCCCATGTTGTGCCCAGATAACGAACCATTGTGCCTACGAACCAGTTAAGTCTCATTTAATCCCTGAAAATAGCAGGGAAGTTTTAAGTGGCCTAAAAGCCTTATACGTCTCCTTTGCAGGAAACGGACTCACTCCATTAAAGAAAAGGAAAGAAATTACTGATTGCGCAGCTTACTTGGTAACGCAGCTGTCTTTTATTTCAGCCTGGGAAACAGAAGAACTTTCTCTCTACAGAGTGAGAGGAGTTTCTAACAAATCATGAAATGACACATCACTTGCATCTTAAAAACAACACAGCAACTAGCTTAAAGCAGTATTGAGAAGGGTTTTGGGGGGGTTGTTTTTAATTTGAGGGAAACCAGAACACTGTTTAATTCCACAAAATTTTAGGTTAGCTTTATGAATACAAAACTTTTTCTAAACAATTCAAATTCTACACAAACCGCAACTTTTAGCAAACTGTTTTAAGTCCTCTAAGTGTTTGTTTCCCCCAAGTCAGTTAGTACAAATATACTGACACCTAAAATTTTTCAGCATCATCTCTGTGTTCAGATAGTTGCAGAGATGCCAGGTATTTGTTTCTCCTTCGGGAGGGAGTGGAGTGTCCTCGTGAGCTGAAAGCACTTCAGACTTGAGTGTATGTGGGATTGTACAACACACTTCCCCAAACTTTCACCCCAGCTTCAGTGCAACGTAACTTTCAATTTTATTTTTAGCAATCTTTGTAATAATGTGGGGGTTAGGATTCCTGTTGCTATTGAATATAAGTGAAAGAAAAGCAGTTCTAATGCCTCTTTCTCTCATAATAAATGTTCTCTAGAAAGCCAGATCTGTGCAAAATCTTATATAAGCAACTTCTGTATTAAAAACTTACAAACATGCTTGCTGCTGGGTAATTAAGGTTTTACTTGCTACTATAAATTTCTGCGCAATGAACAAACCACTAGTGCACTTTTGAATTCTCTTTAAAGGGCTGGTCCAAGTGTTGGCGTTCACATGCAAGCTAGTGCATTAAGCAAAGAGTAACACAAATATTCAATCCCATTTCACCCGCTTTATGCAATCTTGTCTTGTTCTTGCAGGATCAATGAGTTCACAGTACCTTTTAGTAAGCGTTATGCACACCTACAGAAGAAAACATGAGATGTCCCAAGCATAGGAATTTGAGGTAACAATATTAAGGAGCAATTCCTGCTTTGACGTTAGAAAACCCGCAGAACAAACACAAGTGCCTAAGAAACCGATTGTGAGAAGTAGCCATAAAACGAGCAGCTCTGTTCAGATGTTGGACCAGCTCTTTAACGTTACGCCCTGGTATGAACAGTACGGTCTATCCCAGGTGCATCAATGCCAACCACCTAGAACTGGACTTTGCTTTGCAATTTGTATCTCATCATCAAAACCAGAACATCTTGTGCCACCTACCAGCTTTCCTGCATGTTTCGGGCTTGGTCTGGATCTACCCCATACTTGCTTCCGAAACCTGTGCTCTGCTGTTTCTCCCTGTATTTTCCTTTTCAAAAGTCTCTTCTTCACTTCACATTCTTGAAACACATATAATGCCTGCTCCCAGCATATTTACTTACTCGAGAGCCCCTTATTTACTAAAAATCTGAGCCTATGTAACCTGTTGAATCCATTATATTCTATAGTGTGATACCCTGATATTCCTAAACTATGGCAGGCTAGTAATATTTAGAAAAAGTTAAAAAGTCATGAAATGCTGTACATGTCCACATGCTTCATGGTGAATATCCTTAACTTTAAAGGTATATCATATACAAACAAGAAAATTAACTCCTAGGCTTGGCTGATATTTGACACAGAATATTTTAAAAATTTTACCCCTAAAATTTTTTTTTAAAATTATGAGTTATTTATTTAGGCAACAATCCGAGTACACGTTTGTTCGTAAATGCCCCTTGCTAGCAACTGTATTTTTTTCATGACTTAGAACGGTCTGTTTTATTCCTAGGAAGGTGCATTAAGACTGGATCACTCTGACCTACGGAGATGCTCCTTATGCAGAGCCGTGGCTGCAAGAGGACTATCACTGGGCGAAAGTCAAACTTCTGGAGTGTTGCAAATCACAGGTCCTGTGCACCAAACATATGGCTTCTGAGGGCATTGCAGGTGCAAAAGCCCTGCACAGTTACCATCAGCACACAACAGCTTTTCACCCAAAAGCAATCCTCCCGCAGCCACACGGGTCACTCCTGTCAGCCAAGGCCGTTCACCCGACTGAGAGTTTGCAGGACGGGACCTTTCTAACAGAATCTTTGGCACAGGTTAAGTGTTTTGTTATAACAAAAGAAGATTAGAAAGTAGCCCCGCAACACCAACCCCGACCCCCACCCCGTTACAGATTCTAGTACAAATTTAAGTCTTTTATGGCAAATATCTTACTTTGAATATGTTTACATGCTGGAAAAATTGTAATCAGTCTGCATGCAGCAACAGAGATGTCATGCTTCTGGCATTGTCATGCACATCTGACAGACGAAAAGTGCCCATGGCTGCTAACATTAACAAGGCAAAAGGGAAAGAAAAGGAAAATGCACTGACTACTATTTTACATGCTGTAACAAAACCAAAATATGCACAAAAATATTTACTGGTATTTGAATTAATATCTTCTGGTAAGTTTTAAGAGGAAGTATCAAATTTTTTTTAACTAAGTGATAGGAGAGAAGAAGACTGCATTGATTACAGTGTTCATCATTGCAGATAAAGTCTATTTCCTTCTCTGTAAGTAATAAGCAGATGTGAAATGATACCCTAATTGAAACTTGTATAAAACCTGCAGGTAGCAATTACTGTTTAAAAGTAGATCTACGTTAAAAAAAAAAAAGAGATTATACCATAAGCCATTAACAATATCCAAAAACTAAAATAAAAACCAAAACAATAGCAATAAAACATTTAGCTAAACCTAAATCATGTCAATCAGAACAAGAACTTCCACAAATAAAGCACAATTTGTTTTATAAAATTTTTCTAATACTCTTTATGTTTGATACGATTATGTCAATAATATAGATCTGCTTATTATTAACCCTTATTATTAAGAGTTATTACTAAACATGCAAAATTCATTGCATGAAGCATATGTAAAATGTATTAAATTCCCTTCTATCAATAAAACAATTGTTAGGTGCTTCTTCTTTCAGGCTCCATTATTCAACAGCCCCAAGTGTTCAAAATTAAAATTGACTATTTTAGGACTACTCACTCGAATTTCATGAGTTATTCTGGAGCAATCAGGAAGTCACTTGGGGCTGCACTTTTTGTTAATTTACTATATATAATGCCTTCTTTCATTTACTGCCCTATATTGCAGCCTATAAATAAAACCATGTAAATAAGAGTTAAGGGATTACAGTTTTGTTTTACATTCCAGGTTAACAATTTTCATACTAAAATATTGGTATTAGTAGAACTGGTTAACAGTAAACTTGAGGAGTGGTGTAAATTAAATTAACTGAACAAACAATGGCACCCTGGAACACAGAATAATCTCATGGAGATTAAAATTCACAAAAATATTATTATAATTATTACTATTATTAAAGACAAAATTTCACCCTTGAGTTTATCACATGCTACTTAGCAAAGATCTTAGCGATCTGGCCACTGCTGAAGTTGGTTTAAATTTGGTGGTGCTTACAGGATTAGGTGTTGCCTCAGGGGCTACCTGGACTTTATCCCCCCTCACCACCACCTCCCCCCTGGCTCGTTCCTGTCATATTTTTAAGCAAGTATTTTCAACAATTTTTCGCAATGCCCTCTCCTCCCCAGTGCTGCCTCCGTTGCGGTCTCTTGTGCTCTTGCTCTCTCAAAGTCCCTGGGAAGCCCAGGAAGAGGAGCGCTCCCTCCAGACCCTGTGCTCCTACCTCGTGGCATCTGCGTTTTAAGGACTAAATATTCAGGGTGGTGGTTTTTTTTTTTTTTTAGATCACATGTTATATTATTTCTAATACAGGAGAGTGGAAAAGGGAGCAAAAGGATAGTGGAAGTTACAAAAATATATAATGTACCAAAAAAGGGTAAACTTTAAACGAGTCAGTGGTGACTTCAAGAAGAATAAACGGGCACTGTATACTACTTTATCTCCCATTAATATAACATCTCAGTTGCAAAGCCAAAATCCTGAATTAGTGGCCTTTCCCCCATCCTACGCTTCCTAACCCTACAATTTTCAGGCCCCAACGGAATCAACAAGGCAAAGGCCTAAAAATTCTAGGGTTAAGGACCCTTTCCCGTTGCGTGATTTGATCCTGTTTTGCTGTTTCATGCTACATTTTGTAGAAAGGGGTGTACAAATTGGGGGTTGACATAAGAGAATCCTTCAAAATCTGTTTGGTCTATGTTAGCAATGACCAGCTGATCCGGAGGGGTTAACACTGGCTGTCCTCGTGTAAAGAATTTATCGAAGTTCTCAGCACCTTTGCCACACTGTAAGAAAAAAAGAAGAAAAAAAAAGGCTGAAAAAAAGGAGCAATACATCAGCAGTTTGATCTTCTTGCAAATTTCTCAACATAAATGTAAGATTTTCCCACATTTTTTACAAGTAGTTAGGGTACAATTTTCTTTTCTGAGATTTTAACAAAAAAAGTCGAGCAAACACATTTTAATACATGAACTCTGATGAAAAGCAGCGTCGGAATATTTTCCATCCTTCAGCATGAGGTGACAAGGTAAAGAGGCGTAGATATTCAGAACTACTGAGACAAAGAAATGAGAAAATATTTTTATGGACATGTATTGGCAAGAGATACTTTAGCTGTCAAGCTGTCTGATTCCTCTTGAAACCTTTACAGTGCAAAATTAACTTTTGGGTTAACTTTGTTTCCTTCACAACCTGCAGAAAGCTTTACATAATTCATTTATTTGCTTTGATTCTTCACTGTATAAGCCTATACAACTCCTGCTAATCCATAAACTTTAACAGAGCTACACTGGCGTAACATTAACGTAGGAGAGCAATGAGGCAGGTCTTATTAGTGAAAATATTTTGTGTACTAAAAATACAAGTTCAATTGGATATAATGCTTGGAAAATTATGAACACATTTACATCTATGTATATATGCGCATCTGTGCGTGTATATAATCATTATTATTACTGAAATTATAACACACTATAATGCCGTCGTCAATTCCCAAACCAATCAAGTGCTTAGTTCCTTGGGACATTTATTCCAAATGGCACTTCAGTCCCACTCAGAATGAAGTGAAATAAAATAAAATCTTGTAGGGTACAGAAAAGCTCGGTCGCCTCTCAGACAACATCAGCGTTAAGACGTCGTAAGCATGGCTGGACAGTTTTATACGTTTGGAGTGGAGGCATCTAGACAAAATTGACTCTCTGGAGAAAACCAGGCACAGAAAAGTGAAACGCAGTCCTCAGCACACTTGCAGAGCCCTGCGGGAGCGCAGATTCACAGGCTGAAGCTGGCATCGCCGCCCCGCGTCTTATCCCAATGGCCGCGTGGGAACAACGGTGTCTTTGATCCCTGCCTTCAGAAGCTAATCCTGATTTAACCCCCAGGCCACCAGGCCCTCTCACTGATGTCAGCCACCACCTACCACCTCCATACAATGATATGGAAGTTATTCCTCTTTGCCCAGCCACTAAAACACCAAATTTCCAGCAAGCTCCAGTTGCCTAGCCAGGGAAGAAACCGGGGCAGGGAAGGCGTCCTGGGAAGAGGTCCACGATGCAACATGTGCTACCACTGGTTTCTTTCTTGTCTAAAAGAGACGTGTTGCCTCATGAGGCCCTGCTGAGAAGCGTGGTTATATGTAGAGCTACACACTGAACACAATTAATTTGGAACGTAAAACGGAAGAAATCAGGTTTGCAAGAAGGATAGTTTTGAGTAATGTAGAAAACACTTGAAAGATGGTAAAGTATGATTAGAGGCAAGGAAAAAAAGGATGAAGGTGGGAGCAGAGTAAAATTAGCTTGGGTAGAAAGACTGCATATTTGGGGAAAATTAGTCATTGAATATTAGGGAGAGGTCTGAAGGAAAAATCTCCTTATTCCCAAACTATCTACTATAATAGATCATAGAACAAAGTGTGGTTATACGACTAATGTGGTGAATGTTTCCTCCCAATGTATGTGACTCTTTCCTCTCTATCCATCTCTAAAGGATAGCTGCGCTGTTAAATATGTCTGTTACTGAATATGCCTGCAATCAGATTTAAAGGGCAACCTTGCATTGCACTGTTATCTTCACACTTAGAGGATACTCGGTAAGGGTAGAAGATGGCTCGTACAAAAGGCCAATATTAACCATTGCTTTTCCTGAACTAATCTAACATGAACAAAAATCTGGGATTTATAGGAGAAAAACCGAAGAGGGGCCATTAAGGGAACTCACAAGGTGAGATGTGTAGCTCATATGCTATCTTAAAAACAGCTCAGTTAAAGCTTCCAGTCTTCTTGCAAAGCACCTGGCATATTCTGCACTTGGACATGCCGTCCACTCTGAGCTGCAATGAACTTTTGCTGCCTTAGGCACAGGTTGCTTCATACTTCAGATCTAAAACGCATGCTCAGGTCTGCGACTGCAGTGCTCACAAAAGGCCACTTGCTCAGTCTTGGAAAACACAAGCAGAGGGACACTTCAACGGGTTAAAGGCTAATGTTAGTTTGCTTTTGTCACCCAGGGTGCTCACCGAATACCTTGCTGCCCACTGAAGCCAATGCATTTTGGTACCGAATCTCTGGAGAACAAGAACGGATATAGTTGAACTTTGACAAAGGGTAAAACTCTTCATCATTTGAATGACAGTTAATGCATCTCCAAATTAACGGTCAAATTTGTTCAGAGGCAATACAGTCAATTCAAAGCAGCATCAAAAGAGGTATTTCTACCGGGAAGACTTTTTACTAAAAAGATGTTTTACAAACATGTCTCATGCTCCATAAAATTATGCCCAGGATGTTTTTTTCAGCAAGTGGAAGCTCATCAAACAAGCCATATATTAAAACCACAGTTCCTGACTCCATTAGATCTCACTATTGCTTATACCAGTAGAGCTGAAAAATAGCTCATGTGAAATCTGGGAGTTTTTTTGTGTGAATGTAATCATTTATCTATAGTTCTGCATTTTCAAATCATCTGTTTTTCTTCACTTTAACATTGTTATTGTGAGCATTAATGCAGTAGTAAGGCAGAACTGAAAAGATGTGACTCCTACAACACTTACACTTAGAAATATGAGTAAAATGACCTTTTTACAAAGAAAAGCAATCAATGGCTGTAGCCTGTGAAATGCCAATTCGGAAGGGAACAGGTTATTTATAGAGCATTTATGCTTTATTCAATGTGAAAAATGTGTTTCAGATTGCGAACTTTTAAGCAAATTGCACGCAAATTTCTTTTAATAGTTTCTTCTGTAGCGTCCTTAGTAGCAGGCTGCTGTTTGGCAGATACCGTGTACGTACTTAGCACCTTCCGTGCGTCAAGCCGAACACTGTGGTGTGCAATTGCACAGCGTAAGGCCAAACACCGTCTTTAACTCAGCAATGTACTTCCCTCTCTGATGAATATCTATTAAAATAACTACTTGCCCACAACAGATACAGATCATTTATAATGTTAAGAGAAGTAACAGAATAGCTCAAGCTTTATGCTATTTACATGAAATGTCATTCACTGCCAATCTGTAAATACAGTTTTGCAAATATTTCTACACTCAAAACCTGAAATGAATTATTTAACTGTTGTTTAGAGCATGAAAGATACCCCACAACACTGGCTCTATACCACAGAAGGTAACTTCTGGTAAAGTTTTCCATCTCTAACTTAGGTGTCTATATGCTCCTCAGATTAATAAGCATTTGGGATAGTTAAACCTAAGTGGAAGTTAAGGCACTTAGATACCTAATGTTTAAGTCCACTGGGACTTAAGGACTGGTCCTGCAGCAACGTACTCCCTAGAGCAGATGCACCTAGCAAAGTTTTCTGAAAGACAACTAAAGAAAACCCACAGCTACGTCCACCTCTACAAACAGATTACGGTTCTTGTGTTTTTTGCTTTCTAAAATCAATATAAATAGAATCAGCAATCACAGTATGTTGCTAAAGCAGTTATACAAAAGGTATGAAAAGATGGGACTTGGATTTTAAATGATTTTTCTTTGAGTAAGTTAGGCTTCATGTGAATGCTTGGACTTCCTTGGTGTATTTTAAAAGCAGCCTGTATACACAAAACAAGTCACGATCAACCCCAGAGAACCAGCGCAGCTGTCCTGCTCAGGGGCCATAATGTGCGGTCAAAGGGGTTATGATGCATCCAGGCTACATTTCAAACTTTTATTATCTGTGTGCTTTTAAGCACTCAGTTCCTTAAATAATAAAATTTATAGCTGAGAAGGTAGATGTGCTTTACTATCAGCTTTAATTTTGCCACAAAAGGCATGTAATGAAAATTTTACATAAAATGTAGTTTAAAGAAGTGCAGCTCTTCTGATTGATAGCTCTTGGGAAAGGCCAGTCAGGGCAGCATTACCACATATGTTTTTTTATTTTATTTACACGCAAATCTTGTGCACAAATTTCACAGCGTATGAAAAAGCTGAGTTTCCCTAGCACAAAACACTCTTCTTGGTACACAACTCCCCTCTTACTCATGTGAACAAGAGTCATCTGTACACAAAGAGAGATGAATATATCCTGCCACTGGGTAGCGTCCACCCTCTGCTCATAATCTGTGATACCACACTACCATGTCTGCATCGGTAAACAAATCAGTGTCCAGACCAGTGATTCTGTACCTGCAGTACTGCAGCCTGTTACGCTTCACAGTTGAAGCAAAACAAGCGTTATCACAGAAAGATTGAACGCTAGGGCATAACAATTTACAGCTGCTCCTGAGAGCTTGCACCCAAACATTTTTCTTTGCATGTCCATAAAGCATGGTACATGCTGAAAGAAACTCCGTATCAACAAAGACAATTCCTCAATTTATATTATACAAACAGTTCTCGCAGTAAGGGCATCTTTTCGCTTGTTTGGATTTCTAAAATAGTCCTCTGGATATATGTATGCAAAGCAGTAATAAACATTTAAAAAAACAGATTAAACTGCTAGAGGGGTAAATGCCACTACCCGAAAGTGTTTGTATTCTTTCTTTGAAAACGACTGGAGAAAGAAATCTACATTACTCCTGCAAACTCAGCAGATTTGGGTTCTTTCACTCTAAGATGGGAAATACAAAATCCTTGTGCAGTGTAGCCCACTGCAGAGGAAATGTACGCCAGTTATTTAAATACCTTTAGTCATCTACCCAAGGGAGATGACATCTACGCTGTGCAGAGGAGACAGCTGGCAACTTAATTTGTGACATGTCTGAGGCAGCTGATGGGAATATGCCATTCCTCCCCGTGTTCAGCATCTCGTGCAGCGCATCGATGACCAGTCAGGAGTCACAACACGGTGAGACGTTTTGACAAGGAGCAAACTGCTCTGGGATATGCAATGCAGTATTGCCAAGTATTGCAAAGTATATGCAAAGAAGTATTAATGGATTTACAGACTGGTCTGCCATAACCGAAATGCCTAATTTTAGACATGTCCCGGATTTGCAGCACCACCAAGCCAGCGTTAATCTCACCCCACAGAAAAGGACGACTGCAGACAACGCATTCAGCCAGGGACGTATTTTGCACCTCACTCACCACTTTAGGCTTGAAAGGTGGCTGAATCTCTTTGTTTTCCAGTTTTTCCCAGTCAATTCTCCTGAAGAAAGCATGTTCCCTGATGTCTCTTTCACCTTCAGGGCCACAGCCAAGGCGTTTTGCAGGATGTTTAGTCATTAGCTGTCAAGGAAGAAAACCAAATGAGTAACTGTAACGCTGGAGTGAAAGTGTGACAGACCTTCCCACAGACTGTAAAGTTACTGTTCCTCTCCTCGAGATGCAACTTGGTAATAAAATTGTCATGAAAAGCTAAAACTCTTTTTTTGAAGACTAATTTTATTGTTTGATCACTGCACGTCAGCAGCAAAAGTAGCGGCTGCACTGTGGAAGTTTCCTCCTTAGGCAAAGGCTAGCAACGCGGGCCGGCGTTCGCGTGCCGTGAACGCTGGGCTCATCCTGGTTCGCTGCAGATCCGCTCCTGCGTTTCACCTTTGGTCTCTCAGCTCAGTCTTACGCGTCTCCAGAATAGCTTCTGCCCTGCCTCTACAATCAATACGAAAGCTGTATGAAGTGCAACCTTCCTTTATTCTTTCTGGGCATGTCCAGGACAGCTCATTACAGAGCCTACAATTTCTTGGCACCCAGCTGACAGTATCTAATCTGCGTTTCCTCTCTTGCATCCTTAATGCCATCATGGTCAATACTAAACCCAGCTGCATTGCATACTTTGAAGCAGCTTTGTGCTCCCTAATTACCAGCTCCTCCGAGTATCGGTGTCCACTGACAGATGCATCAGGAACTGAGCAATGTAGCCTTCAGCTCTTGGTTCCAGTATTGTGGGGACTTTTTAAAGCTCTTTTACATATTATGTAAGATTAATATAGTGTTAGGAGCGATACCTTAACATATCTTTTTAAAACCTCAGCTGCACTGCTTTAGTCTCTTAGCCTCCCTCCAAATGTTCATTTGATCACACTCCAAGTTTGGAACTAAAATAAAAAAGCTCCCTACGCAGACTTCAGAAAGCAGATTGTGCACTGGGATAGGACCACATCACTCCAGTTTAATAACAACTCTGGCTATTTTTATTAACTTTTCTAAAACACTTGCTTCAACGCTAGCTGATAGAAGAAAACGTGGCTAATGATTCCAGCAGTATCAACACTGTTCCACATTTACGGCATTTGCCAAAACCAGCGAACCGCGAATCAGTGGAGTAGCAGTGCGAAGGAGACGATTCCGTCGGAGGTTCGCAGCGGGTGCGATACGCCTGCCCGCCCAACCTGCTCAACGTTCCCAACCTGGTGCAGCTGGGGCGCAACGCTAACTGAGGCTTTGGGTTAATTTGTTAGTTTAATGCAGACCTCAGACGTGTTATATCACAGAGATTTGGCCTTAAACCTGGTGGTGCAATGCAATTGTAACTTTCTGAATCTTTTTGTGTAATGAGCTGGCAGAAGAGAGTCTCAGCGGCAGAGAGGAGCACAGAGCAGGGTCAAACTTTGGATATACTGCCTGCATATGAACTGTTTGAACATATGGTTTTCATGACAAAGCATACAATCTGCATGTACTTTACAAAAACATATCATTTTACTTTTTGTTGGCCAGAACCAGTATGTCTACATTGGGATAAACTCCAAAATTAGAGTGATCTTTCTTGTATTTTGTTGGTCTAAACAGCTTTCTCGATGATTTTTCCTTAAAGGATTAATATTCAGGTTATTCACAATACTTCCTGCACAGTTGCAAGTGAAAGGAAGAAAGTAAATGCCAAGTTAACTGACACTTTAAGTGCACTATTTTCTCACCGTAAGAAAGACATCAAAGTGAGACTTTATAGATCGTGTTTTGGAAAAGCTGCAGAACCGAGATACTCCAGGGATTCATACAGAGTATGAGTTCTTTTTTACTGAGCTAATCCCCTGAAGTCAAATCTATTCTTTGCCTTGAAAAAAAATTAACTTAACTTAGAATCAAAGATGAATTTTAGGCCAGACAGGTTACAACTGGGTGAGGATTTCCCCACAACTTCCTTGTGTTTACACTAAAGATTTTCACATAGGTTCATCTTTACCCACATTATAAAATGATTCTTATTAACTATTTTAGTCTGCTACCGTGATTGGGCACACAGGGCTCTGGCCTGCAGCCCGCTCACTTGAATATGTACTACCCAGGGTGCTGAGAAATCTCATCACACCATCACTCTGCTTCCAAATTTTGCCTTGGATTTGGCAGCCTGATTCTGACGCTCGTTCTTACCGTAAAACAAGCATGCGAAGAGGGAACAGTTGAATACTTATCTGTGACACCAAACGATGACCACCGTATCACAATATAGCTTAACACGGCCTGATAGAAGTTGCACTTAAAAAATATTATGTCTGACACGTTTTGCCAAAATGGGTGGCGAAAAGAAACTTTGTGATGAAGAAACATCTTTCTCACCCCCTTGCAGATAGAGACAGCTTCTTTGGACAGTGATTTTGGATAGGAAACGTTATGCTCCATTATGGACTGGAAAAGTTCATCTTCATCTTCTCCATCAAATGGAGGCTGTTAAAAATAAATTGCAGGTGAATTATTATCACTGTTTTTTAATTCTCCACTTTTTATGAAATGGCATGATAACACTTTGGCCATCTGAGGTCATGGCAAAGGTCCGTCTAGCGCAGCAACCTGCCTCCAGCAGCAGACAATCACGGATGCCCACGGGGATGAGAACAGAGCAGCGGTACTTGCCTGCTATTCCAGCCGATGCCAAACTTCCAGCCACCTGCAGCTTGGGGATCTTAGTTTAGTCTTTGACAGAAATCGAAGAGCAAAGTCCACTTCTGCCCTCACCGTGGCAGCCAGGTTAATGAGAAGCGTGCAAGATTATCTTCAATGAGCTTATCTTTAGATATTTTAAACTAACTGTTAAAGTTACTATGTACCAGACAGCCAAAAATACTTTAAATGGTAAAGTTTGGGGATTGTTACTTTTAATTATCTTGTGTTAAGGTATATCCATTCCTCATTTAATTCCAGTTAAGCTCCAGTTTGTTTTCTAAGACATGGCTGTGGATGCTGTTTCTGTGAGGGGGAGACTGTGTCACAAGAAAGGGCGGCGCTTTATCTTTAAATATAGGTGATGAGCAGAGTGCCCCGGGTAAATTCCCGGGATATCACGTATGGGCACTGTTTAAGTCTCAGCTAATGGTAAATTCAATTTTTGCAAAAGCACTCAGATGCCAAATATCTGCAGTGTACACTGTAAATTTTAACAACTTCAATTGCCAAAATCCCTACTAAATTCAAGTAGACTTGTTAAAGGTAACTATTATACACATTTGTTAAAAATGTATATTTTCAGCTGAGGAAATGCATACCTCTAGCTAAAACTCATTGAAAGCCATTTGCATAAATCTTTTTCAACTCAAGACAGTAATATAACTCCTTAAAGTTGGTTGTTATCTTCCATTTAGTGCAATACAGTGATGCTTTTCTGTTTCAGTGACTCAGAGAACAGCGTCTCATTAACTGCGCAGAAAAAGGGGACTGTATAACTAAGTGTGTTTCAAGTGGTGAGACCTATACTTTACCTCTAGGACATACAATACAAAAAGTGTATTCTGGTGATTTGACTGCAATGCTGAACATATAAACAGTTGTCTTATATCCTGAGGTTTCAACCTAATGAATGGTATTTCTTCCATTTGACACGCATTTTCCTGTTAAAGTGTCTCCCATTCAATTCTGAAGGTGGCTATTTATAATATTATTTCAGTACAAAGAAACCACACTCAAAGGCAGTGCCTGATTATGTGGGTGCACTATAAAGAGCTTATAGCCTGAATATATTCTCAGCGGAGGTAGACAGTCAAGAGTGCACAGAGATAACATTATCAGGAAAGGCCACAAGTTTGTCCCCTAAGGCTCTAACGCTTTAGCAAGCTTTCGGTGGCCATCAGAGCAAAGCTGGCATTTAGCAGAGGATGCAGAAGAGGGCAGGAATGGGGCTCTGCTCTGGGGAACTGGAGCAGCAGGAGACGCTGCAAGTAGGCAGAGGATGGCTTCATGGTCTTACTGAGAGAGAAGTCAACCTCAGCATGGGGCAAGAGACTCGCAGTAGAGGGCATTAGGCCATCAGCAGTCTTGAATATGAGCAAAGGCAGCTTGTAATTGATGTTTGGAGAAATGGGAAAGGTGAGATAATCAGAGTGATGGGCTTTGAAACAGAGAACGTTCTGCGAGACAGGAGCAGCAACACCGTAACTCTCACCTGGCCAGCTAACATCTCGTAGAGCAGTACTCCATACGCCCACCAATCCACTGACTTCCCGTAGGGCTGGTAGGCAATAATCTGCGTAATCAAAAAAAGCAATGTTAACTGAGATCCAGTCTGGTGACACATAAGATAAATAGTGACCTACAAACATATTTGCTTGCAAAGGCCCAGAAAGCCAATATTGCAATCCTCGCTCCCGCTGATCGTTGACTCAACATCAATGAGGTTTCTGCACTCTGCACAGGACATCTCTCTCATAGTTTTATGGGGGGGATTTACAAAGCATATGCAGCTTATTGGGATTGGTTATTGGATCTACAGCAGAGGAGGTAGCCAGCTTGCACTGCTTTTGGTAGGCGTTGGACAGTTTGGCAAATACAAGTATACACGCAGCTGCATCTTTTGGTAGCCAAATATCTTGGGAAATCTGGCTCTTAGGAAAGGTAGGGATGTACATTTGAAGGCACAGAAGGAAGTAGAAGATAAGACACTGTAGAAGATAAGACAAGAACTTTATCCATTTGTGTCAAAACTTCAAATCATGAGACTCACTCAATTTAGAGATCATCAATAATTAAGAGTTCAAGTTCTTTTCAATATTTATATTTTTGTCCTGCTCTAAAAGGAATCAAAGTTTAAGAGAAGAGCAAAACCCTGAAAATCTTAGTTATATTTTCCCAAGTTACATTACTAAGACGCTCTTAGCATGAAACCAGATACTAGTTGCATTGAAAAGAAAGGGCTTTCTGCTGTTCAGACTAATGGAAATGTCAAGTATTTTGCATCCTCTGGGTTCACATTGGACTCACACACAAGCACAGAGTGCTGTCACAACGACGGGCTGCATGTGCAATCAGCCTGCAAGTCCCCTCGCGCTGCATTTTCTATAATCGAGGCCTCTTCAGAGATCAGTGTTCATTTATTGAAGAGGTGCAGCAGGCGTGCTACAAAGGAGTTCTGAGGTTCACACATGCTCTCAGATCTCCTTCTAAATAATTATGAAAATTATTTTTTCTCTCTCAATAGAAGAACATCCTGAGGCTGTCGAGCACAACAGAGATCCAAGCCGTCCCCGTGTCTTCCCCTCAGACTGGGGAAGGCAGTATCTGAGTAGCTGCAAGTTCTTCACTAGGATGGTAACAGCACATGAATTAAAAATTACCGTAAAACTTTTTAGCACAGAATTTCAAAATCAATCACAATTTGACATGTATTACGTAACCAGAGGCAGTAACAAGTTTCTCAGGTGAAAGGTCTTACAGAAGGGCAACCTTTACTAATTGTCTTTTAGCAGTAATCACAGATATTCGGCTTTAAACGACATATGTAGGATACTCGTTTCATTTACAGCAGTTGACGTACTTGGTTACTCTCCCTGTAATTATTATTCACCAGTAAGTTCCCAGAGGTCCATCTGGAGTTAACGCCGCTACTTTAAAGACCAAACACTTTCAAAATGTCGTCCGGAAAAAAGACACACAGAAAATGTTAAAATACTTCCTTCTCACCCCTTCCCCACAGCCCCTCCTTGCCCTATAGGAAGGCATGTTTCATCAAAAAATAAATGGATATTTTTCAGAAGATCATTAAATTTTAAGGGCAGAACATTTTGTACAGTAAGTGCACTTTCAGGTAAGCGGTCACTGTAGGAACAATTTACTTCAATTAGCAAACGAGAAAAGGATCCCTAACACCAAGAGAGAAAATCCTGCTATAAAGCCTGCACCACAGTTCTCAATCTGGCAGTCAAACGCCTGTCTAGGAGGTGACAATCCACTTCCCTTCCTATTTTGAAAGAGTTTGATGAGAGTACTATGGAGAGGAAAACTTTTTTAATATGCAATGCAACGTCATAAAATGAAAGAGGTAACAAAGCACTGACTTAATGACACTGTCTGTTTAACTAGCAACAGGCCGGCCAAGTTTGGGTCGCTTGGGAAATAGCATCCTCATCAGCAAATGCAATCTGCCCCAATTAAATATGCCTTTGTGGGAGAAGATCAAGCAGAATCATCGAGGGAGACAGAATTAACGTGAAAAAAGCTCCTACATTTCACCGAACATATGGTCAGACTTACGAGAACGCTGTAAAAATTGTGCCCTATGTCATTGGCTGAAACATTTATTCGATGCCACATGCCAACACTAACGAAACAGAGTGACAAGCAGCCTTGGCATCTCGCCCCGCTGGAGCACCACTCCCATGGGGGAACCAGTCGCACAGTGTCCGCGTGGGATTTTCAGAAATGCCCCTGGACATCAAATCCCACTGGGAGCGGTAGAGTCCCCCTGGAGACAAGTCCCCCTGGAAATGCAATGGGAACACCGTTTTCATTGAACCTCTCACAATGCAGGAAAAGGTGGCACTTCACTTGCAATGCATGCTTCTGTATAGGATAAGGTTTTTCTTTTAATCCTAATTAAATATGTCCAGTGGAATCACGAGCCCGGTTCTGGTACGAATACGACACAAGTGGAACAGAAAAGCAGCCTGCCACGTCCACCGGCCACCCCGCGCGCCGCGTGCGCAGCCTGGCAGGTACGCTCACCCACGATGCTGGGAGCTATCCAAAGCATCAACTGGAAAACGTGAACAAGAGGCAAGAACGCGCAGTTCAAAGAAGGAATTATACGCAGGAGGAAGCAGATGAGCTTTCAACATACAGGTAAACACACACTGACACAAAATCAACAAGTTCTAAATACCGTGTTTTCAGTATTTCCCTCCTGCTTGGAAGGAGCATGGACACTTGGCGTGGATAGCCTACCATGCTAAACCCGCTACGGGCTGCCTTGCAGCAGCGGGCAAAGCAATCCCACCTGCATGCCCAACTCTGGATGTCCGCCAGGATAAACAGCGGTACGGGAATATCTCACGGCACCGCACAGAGCAGGCGCCCAGCTGATGGGACCCTTCCCTTCCCCTCCCTCTCTCGCACTAATTTCAAGGGCTGCCTTTTTCGTCTCCTTTCGCGTTTCCAGTGCCCCACTTTCAGAGCTCTGCCTTTTCGGATTCCGCGGATTTGAGCGATCAGGAGCTGCTCAGAGGAGCTTCTCGCACGCAGCCAAACCGGCAGAGGAATGCTGACTGCTTTTTCTCTCTTTTCTTTTTGCCCCCAAGGAAGGCACAGTTAAGAGCAGGACACAGAGATTAATACGAGCAATTTGTAGGGCAGTTCAGATCATTGCAGCTTGCAGCTGGTAGCCAGTTGGGATGAAAGGATTATATCCCAGAGGCAAGAGACCAAGTCCCTTGTGAGCATATCTTATGTCTACTGAAAAAGTTAAAACACAGTTATTAAAAGAAATAAATATAACTGGCACAAGAAACAGTCAGAAGTACACTCTCCAAACCTTTGTAATATCTATAGCCTCCCCTCCCGGCAAATGCAAGGTTAGAACTGAAGGTGTTGAGGATATTAGACGGAAGAGAAGGGGAAAAGAGTTTTTAATTTGAATTCTTCCGACTCTGAAAAGCAGTGTTTGTGCTGCCGCGAGGTGGCTGCTGGTGGGGTTGGGTCCTGCATGGCAGGCAGCGGTCTGTGCTGGCAGAAGCGCTGCCCGTTAATCCTCCCGGCATCCATCCCCTCCGTCTCTCTTGACTGGTCAAGGAGATACAAAGTCTTAATCGATTTCAAGCATATTATACCACCAGGACCATAAATATTTATGGCAAAGTTCAGCACCTCAATGAATATTCTTTACTAGAAAATCACTCTCTCCGTCTGACAGCGGTGGTCAAACCTGCGATTCCACCAGCTTAACCGCTGCACGCTTCTCACGTGTCATACGATACCAAAAAAAAAAAAAAGAAGTTAATTCCAGGGTGTCGTACAGCCAAGGAATAAAAATACTAACTTTTGCAATCATTAAGGAAGGAAAGCAATGTTTTACAGTACTCCTGATCCAGAACTGTGCTCCCCCCCAGGAAGCGCGTCAGGAAGGAGATGTGGTGGGAGCGGAGAGGGCGAGGGCTCCCCCAGACCCCGCTATACTCACCTTTTCCCTAACACTCAGCAAAAGAGCCAATTCTCTACTTCTGAGAAACAGCGTTTTTTTTTTCCTTGCCAAGCTCAGAGGACTATTCTAATTCCAGATACCTTACTCCAAATTCGCTCCTTTACCTCCACGCAGCAGGGAACGAGCAGAGTTTGTGCCGTGCAAACGCTTCCTCATTATAATCTGTAACAAATTCTAGCCCGTGAAAATATGCTGAAATGCTCCTGCGAGGAAAATATGTTCCTTACTTTGAAGTTTATCGATAAACAGAGCCTTATTTAGTAATTTATATCAGTCACAGTAATGTCTCAGAAACTAAAGCAAATCAGCCATCTAAATACAAGACAATCTGTTTGTAAGATAATACAAACAAAGATTAATTTCCTCCCAGTTACCAAATGTTTTGGTAAAAGGTTCATTTCTTCATATAAAATTTCCAAATAAAGTGAAATAAATCATTCCAACCCTGACCCACATTGATCAATCTGGGCAGGGATTACACATTCTTGGATGTTAATTAGCACAAGCCTACTGCCGCAGAAAGGATGCTTTTTAATTTGTTATAATGGCTTCGTTTATGTTTCGGCAGGGAGAAATGCAACGCTGCTCTGGGGGCTCTGACATCCCGGTGCAACAGCAACTTGTGAAAAACACAAGTTCTTTTAATACACAATACTTCATTCTGGAAAGCAGGAATTAACAACTGAAAAAACCCAAACTACTTTTCATTCCAGTTTCACAGAGATGACAAAATTCACCTTAGACACTAATTCACTCGTCCGTGTATAAATCGCCTATATTCCAGCAAGCATTCCATCACAGCCAGAAATGTTCGAGCCAGAGGCGCCTCTCGCCCCGCGAAACACAGCGTATCCCGGATCAGGAGCCAGCCTCTTGCATTGAACCGGCAGCCCACAAATCAAGATTCTTGAAAGCTCGGTGTACGCAAAGACCAGATTTCAATACTCATATATTTGAATCACTGCCAAATCACCACATGCGCTTGTTTTTCATATTTTATACCTAAACTATTGAAATACAAAAAACATCAATCATATCCAGACAAAAAAAATCCTCACTCCTGGCTTGTAGTTCTTTATCACAGTGATTTAAATATAACTGTTTCTCATAATCAAATGTACATTTTGCACACAACACAATTAGGCTCGTGTGTGAATCTAATTTTCAGTATTTTGGCTGCTGGAAAGCAGGGCAGGTGAACGCACCAAGAAGCATACATCTGTGGCCTCGAGAGCACGGCTACAGTTGGGTGAAAGCACGTTATTTTGAAAGAAGGGTAAATTGCGGTTGCTTTGGCTGTTATTTTGGTGTGAAATTTTCCTGATTTTGAATTAAAGTGGGGCCCTGCCTGGTATAAATCAAGGAAGATATTTTTATTCAATCCCAATTATAAGTTGTGACGGAAGCAAGATACTGATTGAGGAGTTACTTTTTTGGGATATTGGTAAGTCACAGAAAACTCAGGTGAAATTATGGATTTATTAAGTCAAGTCCTGATCTTATAGCTTAGTTCAGGCTTTCAATGCCTGGAGCTTTCGTAAGAACAGAAGCAGTAGCTCATGGAAACTGCGTACCATTTCCAAGGTATCGCCTGGAAAAGACTAAAGCAGTTCTGCAGGGAAGCTGGTGAAAAACTACAAAGCCTCATCAGTCCCTTCTGAAAATCAATGACAGACTTGTGATTTCCCGAAAATGCTGCACAATTGTGTGTGTGTGTGTGTGTGTGTTTGTATACACAAAATGTATATATGTGTGTATATATATGCAGCTGAGTGAACCCACAGAGCTGTTTTCTCCCAGTAAGCACTATCTTTGCAACAACCTCCGCAACACCCGTTAACTCCCTCCGACTTCACAAATTAAAGCACAAAGAATTGTATATTAATGCTTCCAGGCTATACATTTGAAACCGCAAGGTGGTGATCCTGTTAATTTAGTCTTTTGCTAGTATGAACAAAACTCTAAAATTCTACCTCATATTTTTCAATCAACTAGATATTCTTTAAAATAGAGCAGCATTACTGAAAACGCTGTATTAATTCACAAAGGTATTTAATAAGCCTGCAGAAGTATAAATGGTACCACCCACAAAGCATCCAGGTTTACAGCTATCAAAATTTGATGGCATGAAATGTGTACGGACAGTTTTCATTCGAGAGACTGTGAGAGTCTTAGAACGGTCCATATTTACCTCTGGTGCGATGTAGTCTGGAGTGCCACAGAAGGTCCTGGTTGTTACTCCATTTAACATATGTTCTTTGCACATTCCAAAATCAGCAATTTTAATGTGTCCTTCTGAATCCAACATCACATTATCTAACTTCAGATCCCTATGAAGAATCACAGTAAGTTAATGTTAACGTTTAGGATCAAGCCCGGCCAACCTAACTACTACTGCGTGCGGGTGAGGAACACGCGTAGCTCTCGGGGCAGATGCACGTGCACCGCAGCCTACAGCCCAAGGGCCCCCACCACCGCCCTGCAGACACGGCAGTACGTAAGAATGACCACAAGCCGTGAAACTGGAGAACTAATGAAGAGATGGCTGTATATGAATATGAGCACACAAGACTTTGGAGCAGGTAAAATTATAAGAAGTGATGCATGAATGCACAAGATAATGTTTTATAACTTCAAGGGCTTTCAGTAAAGCACAGACATCAGGAGAGCAGCTAAGTAAAGTCATGGACTCGGTTTACAGCACAAAACAACACAACAAAAAGGACGCTACAACGATTGCTTTTTATAAAACGTTTTATAAATGCTCTGAGAAGTCAAGCATATTGTTCCTTTTAAGATTTTAAAAATATTTACTAATGACCTGCATCAGATTATACTCACCTATAAATAATCCCTCTATTATGGAGAAAGAATAGCCCAACTGAGATCTCAGCTGCATAGAACCTGTACGAAAAAACACCTCATCAGATTTCTTATTACCTCATGATTTTCCTCCGACAAAATATTTTGGGAATGCATCAGGGCAAAGAATGATAACATTAGAGTATAAAATTTACATTATAGAAAGATGGCATAAAAGACACCTTACTGCAATTTGACTTTAACAGATGCATTTAATTTAGAGAATTTGATGATAAAATAATGCAGGGAAAAAAAGTGGAAATTTCTGCCCAGACCAGAAAAGCCTTGGTGCAGCTGGAGCACAGCATGTTTGCTGCACTGATCCGATGGCGGCTGGATAGGTCATTATCTTTAATCACTTATCAATACTGCATGCATGATGCAGCTCAATTTACATTGCAATTCATATCACATTAAATCATTTATAGAAATAGCATTCCTTTATACAGTCTGTTAACAGATTAATTACATAAACCGAATTAAAATGATTACCATATAAAATATAATTGCTGGATGTCGTTAAAGGATATATAATATTGATGGACGTTTGAAGCCAGTTACTGTGGAGCCGGGCAAATTATAAGCAAGAAGATGATTTAAAGACACGATTAATTTTTACTCTAACCTGAGGAAGAGGAAAGCTTAGCTCTGAAACAGGGCATCAGAGCTGGCTGTGAACGTGCGCTCTGGCATATGCGCCACTGGCATAAGTGGTCACAGAGCGTCTTAGTTTCAATGGCTCTGTGGCAAGCTACACTAGCTAGTATCCAAAAGTGTTCTCACACCAGCTAGTTTTTATTTAGCAGCTGCTGCAATTTTTGTTTTATATCACAAATATTTACATTTAGAAGGCTTCTCACTTAAACAAGCCATATATGATTATTCATATGAAAATGAGAAATTATTTTATCTTGTATAAACTACAATTTATATTGTAAGGCTGAGTCTTTTCTACCGTCTTTCCCTGTAACGTTATTTCAAACTGAAACGTTCTACTCGCTTTTTTATACTCACTTTAAACAGCAATGCGAGAACACCAAATAACATTTTAAAATTCCTCTGGCCTTGTTTAAACGCTTACCACTTGTAAAGCATGCATTGCATACGTTTGTTTCTGCTGTACTGTTTTAACGAAAAGGCTTAGCTACCTTTGTCATATGTTTGCAAACATTTTCAAAATAAACTTCAGCCTTTGGGTCTTAAAAAAACACAACCAAAAAGGTCAGCCGGGACTTCGGCTTTAACCTAGGAAGACTCTAGTAGTTAGTGTGCTCAGGAAATCTAATCCTCCTCCAGCGCAAGATTCCGACGATGACATGATTTAAATGTATAAACATGAAAACTCACACTGCTTGTGGCTCCTTAAACTTTCCTACTTGCTGAATGTGATACATGAGATCACCACCATTCACATACTCCATAACAAAATACAGACGGTCCTAGGAGAAAGTATTAAAGCAGCACACAAATACATTAGACATAATACTAGATATGCATTCATCAGCAAAAAAGTCACAGTTATACTATTAGAAAGCTTTAAAGATCATTGGGGTTGATTGTCTATTCTGGCTAAACGGACAGATGAGGAAATGGAAGTGGAATGAAAAACCTGCAGGAGAAACGCCTGATGCGGGCTGCCCAGGGTTGCCAACTTTCGTGAAGCAGCTTTGCCTATGATTTGTCTGCAGCATTCCCAGAATTGTTCACATACAGTCCTGTCTGAAAAATCCCTATGGCTTAAAATAAATGTGAAAAAAAGGTAAAGATGGTTGAAAATTCTTGCCTTGAGGCCATTTCCAATCCTTCCTTTAAGTTCTACTTGGGAGGGTGGATATAGGTTTTGATTATCAAAAGAAGGCAACAAGGGAAGTATTGATAGGGTTTACAAAAGTATCAGATCGTGAGTCCTGAACGTTATAAACTCCAGTTTTCAGATGACCAGAACTGAGCTGTTTCAACTGACTAAAGTAAAAATACACCAATTACACTCTGCAGACAACTTCTACCTTGCATTTCGGTGGCCGATTTTGGACACCTAATTTGAAAATTCTGGTGGGCAACATTATGACAAGCTTATTTTCTGCAGTTATAACATGATCCAGGTAGTGTAAAGGTTCATTAGTAGTCGTCTTTCCAATTAAAGACGACACATTTTTGGCTTCCTCTCAATTGCCTTTATTTATTTTGAATAGGATCATTATCCTGAAGTATTTAAATAAAGTTCTGCTCCAGTCTTCAGATGGGAAAGAGACTCATTACTAAGATGCTTCAGTTTAACCTCTCCTCCCTCTCTTTCCTTCAGGAGCATCGATTGGAAAAAAAAAAAAAAAAAAAAGCCTCTAATCTTCCAGTAACTAAGACTGCAGAACATTTACATAAATTTAAATGCCGTGATTTCAATCGATGAGCCATGGGCAAAATGATTAATTGGCTGGATCACAACTATAAAATTTAATTTCTATATGAATTGTCTATTATAAAATCCATCGGCAACAGAAGTGTGGAAGGAAAAAGAGCAGCTAAAAACACTAACAAAAATTCATCAAGTTTTTCTACAGTCACACAGTTTACTCCTTTTCTTCTCTTTCTTATCCAATTTCTCATTTTGATAGCTAATATTAATCCTCCAGAATCGTTCATAGCACCAAGTGCAAATTACTGAACACTTACAAAAACATGAAGTACATGAGGCTAAGGTGTTTGTTAATCATTCATCTAGGTCTTTACGTGGCTCTATTGTTCCTGTATGTGATCATCCAAAAAAATTATTAATGTGTTTTTAAAGAAAACACTAGATGTTTGTAATTTAAGATTTTGCATTTAAAGGAAGCTGAACAGAAAGATTAAACAAAGTGTTTTTTCCTTTACTGATGATACTATTTTTTTTGTTATTACTAACGAAGTCACATAAAGATATACAAAATTGGAGGGAGACAGAAGCCTATTTCTTATTAGAAGCTCTCGTTTTATTAAAGTAATCTTCCCATTGTAAGTGGAGGTTGGAAAAATATTTTAGAAAGCAAAAAATTTCCAAGTGCATTAGTTCCCACATTCATGCTTTGTTGAGGTTCATTATGTCCTTGAATCTATTGCATTCAGGCCATTTTCTGTTCAGGGATTTGCAGCCATTATGCAGAGTTTGAAAATGCCTCTAACAACACAATCCTCTCGAAATGGTCACAGGATGACATGCTTTATTTGTGGAATATTACAATGTTATTACTTCAAACAAACTGCCTGTTGCCTTTTCTTTGATTAAAAAACATTAACGATTTAAGAGGTAAGGTACATGGAACAGTAATAACTGGGAAAATGGCAACATATATCTTCTCGCTAGCCCTCAGCTCCAACTCTTCATTTCTGGGTAACTAGTTCAAGGTTATTGCCATCAGATGCCTACAAGGTGAGACAAGAGCCTTGATTTCTTGCAAATAAAGGCCTGTGGACATCTTGGAACATTTGGAGAGTTTGCAAGTGTCAGGGTGTCCGCATGCTCACACCAAAAAACCGAAAGCACACCGAGAATCACCTGCCTCCCACGGAGCTTTCCACGCGATCTAAAATATGGTCGAATTGTACCGGCCAGACCAGGATGCTGCCGGGGACTGTCAAATTCCTCAGGCAGGCTGTCTCTGAGCAACGCGTTGCAATGCTACAGTATTAGCATTATCCCCATTTCAAGTATTTACGGGGAAGGAAATGCTTTCCTCCTTGCCAGGGGTGCCAGAAAACTAAATGAAAACCATCAACGCTGATTCATGACTACTCATCTCATTATATAATAAGAGCCATTAAGATTTTACAAGTACTACTCTCAGATCCTTAAAGGTATTTAGGAACCTCTGGGAATCTGGGCCTAAGGCTCTGAGCTCGCAAAGCACACTTACTATTAAATTTATGACTTATCACATTGGCCTGCTCAAATCACTGTATGAAGAAAAATCTTTAAACCTAAGGTCTTAGGTTTAAAATAGAAGTATGTTAAATGGCTAAAGATAACTGCACGGGTTATCTGCTTCTTCACTGTTTCCCATGTGCAGAAGCCCCGTGATATACAGGTTGGATAATAATAAATGTTACTAAAATGATAAAATGCACAACAATATAGTAGGGAAAACATCAAGGTGGCAAGAAAGACAGAGGTCACGTACAACTGTTTGGAAACAAGAGTGAAGCTGTGTTAGAAAAGCTGGCTTATCCTGCAACGCTAGGACTCGTTTTTCAACCATTGTACATTCAACGTCATCATCCTGAATCACCACGTCTTTTTTCAGTATTTTGACTGCATAGAGCTCCTCTGTCCCCTTCCTGTCTGCCAGCATCACCTGCACAAAGACAAACAACAGGGTGAAAATCTTCCTACCTGCCAAGCAAGGAAGGTGACTAACGTGCCCAATGAAGAGCACACGCCCGGCAACCCAGCTTTTCCTTTTATTGCCGCAGGCTAACTTGATTGAAGCTCCAAAAGTATCATCTTTACCCACCCACCGCAATGAGCTGTGCTAGTCGGTTGAAACAAAGGCTTCCCTGTGAAACCTGCGCCCACACCCCCTGGCAACCGCAGGCGCACAGCCCCAGGGCTGATAAAAGGCTAAGCCCCAGGTGAGTTCTTCAATAAAGGGCACTTTATGATATAACTAGTTGTTAAAACAGCCCGAAAAATAGCAGTTCTTACTTCTGACTAACAGATTTCAAATCTGGTGTTTCCCAATATTCATTCTTAACTGGCAGACTGACCGAGGTAGTAATGCCAAAAAGCTAGATTTAATTTACCTGAAACTGCCTAGAAGCGAGGATCCCACAGTCAGAAACTGCTTCTTACATGCTGTCTGACAGCCTGTGATTGAAGCAGAGCGGTGTCCCCCCGCAAAGCGCCAATCCCGACTGAAGCCTGCCAGTCGTTAGGGAATCCCCCTACTCTGCGTTCCAGAAAAAAATCCTCCCTCAAAAACGCACATCCTCTTGACACTTTGTTCTCTTCAAAAGAGAATTACTCATGCATTGCTTCTCAAGGAAAATGAAAAAAGAGAAAAGAAAAAAAGAACGCGAGTGGAATACTTATCCCGAATTCTTACTTTTCCAAAGCTCCCCTTTCCAAGAACCATGAGAAAGTTGAAATCTGTCAGCTTCACCCTGTCCAGGTTGTTGGATGGGACACTCGAAATCCTGTCTTCTGTTGGAGTAATGACTTTGTTACCAGCAGGCCCAAGTTTGGCTTTCTGAAGAACACATACACACACACAGACACACACAAAAACAGGGCAGTAAGAAGAGCGGCCGGGTTTCTCAGCAGAACGGATCATTAGGTGAATGTTACAGTTGTAGATGACCGTATCGGAGGCGGCATTCGCAGGAGAAAGGCTGCATAACAGAATTCGCAGACACAAGTTCAGAGACTCATTCCAACAATACTTTCAACGTTATTGAGTGAATTAAAGTGGACAACTGTGTTCATGTATAACCAGATAAAAGCAGATATGCTTATCTGGTTAGCAGAGCAAAACCAAAGCAGAAACCAAAGCCAAAGGAAAAAAAAAATCACTTATTCTCATGCCAAAAGCAGGCTTATCTGGTGGTTTGGTTTTGAAATACAAGAAGTGCTCTTTTAAATTGTCATGCTATAATCTACATAGTACTTTAGGTTATAAACGGTATCTTCAACACATTCTCTTTTAAAATGTTATATATAAAGTCAGTCTGCATAGCAAGTGTTAGGAAATCTTTGACATGCATTAGGAAAAACAATCTTCATTAAAATAAAAACAACATATGGGAGTTAATGCAGATGAATATGGCCACTTTCAAACTAGCATTACAATCAACTTTGATTTTCAATCAAGCGTTGATCTGAAAAGGGAGGAAGGGAAATATTACATACAAAAGTTCTGTCTTGGCAAGACAGTCTGGTTTGCAGAAGGTTGCAACAGTCTCAGTATTTCATATGAGACACCACATAATTGCTCAAGTAAGTTGCATTTCAAATCTCAAAGTTAACAGAAGAGAAAAAAGTAAGACTCACCAAAAGATAATGCAGGCTACAACATAATATCCCCTTTTTTCCCCTCAAACTTATCCCACATACCAGCAGAAGCAAAGCCAAGAAGTTTTAATAATAGCATTACTTTGGGATGTAAGTGCTTCTTCCCAAAAATCTAGTAAATTGGCCTGGCAAATAATCTCTCGTATGTTTAATTTGCTTTGTGCCTTTGACGTACGCTTGACATTTAAGGATAACTGCTTTTCTCACTACAATGCAAAAGGACAGCAGCTGCGTATCAGCATCAGTTTACGGATAAAAAATTGAAGTCTAGAAACTCAAGTTTATTTGAAGTCACACCATAAATCACCTTAAGAGCTTGGCCTGCAATATACCCTTTGGGGGCTCCACTGGCAACTAGAAGATAAAAACTTTTCTCTCCCTTGACAAGTTTACAGACTTCAAGAGTGAAGGGGCCCGCTCGGCTGAGGCCGCAGCCGGCTGCTCCTGCAGGCAGCGATGCCCAGTAACCCCTCTCACGCACTAACCACGCTGCGCTGGAGAGGCACGCTCGCACCGCAAGGCTCTCCTTGCAACGTTACGAGCGCAGAAAGACTCCTATACCCTGCCCTAGGGCTATGAATTTTAACTGCTTTGATTATTTATTCTTCTGTTTGTAATACAGCTTAAAACACGGCCTTTCTTCCATTACTGTTATCACTCGCTTGTATGAAAGCAGCGCTCAGAGCTGCCAAGCAGGATCACGTACTGCACAAAATCTTCGGAAGAGGCAGTCCAGGATGTTTGGCCTGAGCCCTGGACCCTGCACGGCACCGTCCCTCGGCCGATGCCACCGCTGGCGCACGTGCCCCGTGTCTTTAGGGGCGCTCTGGGCTGGCCCAAAGCTCCCTGCCCGGCCGCGGCGCGGGACTGAGCCTTAAACGAAACAAGCAGAACAACCCCGACAGCCTGGCCTTGTACAAGAAGAAATAGTTTAAACAAGCAGCTTCTCTGGTCACGGCTTTAATTTTCTCGTGTATTGGGTCTCAGAAAAAAGTTGACGGTCTTGCTGTGCAAGAAGCAATTCCAATATTCACCTTTTCACCAAGTAAGGGAGAGCCAAATCAGATGGTCAACGCTAGTTTGCCTTTTTATACTTTAAACCCCATCGGGTAGGTCGTCGGCAGTCTGTTTCAAAAACCTATCCTTCGAAACCCCAAATCAGATTTGGCTCCAAGGCATCCTGCTCCTGCAGGAAGCAAGTCAGCACTCGGCTAGAGAGAGCTTTACTGATTCCTGCCCTGAAAGGCCCTGTGAGACGCCAGGGCGCTTCTCCCCGCCACGGGTGCAGATGCAGCAGCGAGCTGCTGTGCCCTCTGCTGCCTCGCGGAGCAGGAGACAGCCGGCTCGCGCGGCTTAAAGCATCTGGAAGCTGAAATCAGCAAGATCAGAAGGCGGCATCTTAAAACACTACGTAAGAAGCAAGCCAAGGCCTCTCTGTCCCCTCGCCAGGAGATGTTTGGATTCAACGCGCCAGAGAGACACGCTGCTCTGGCTTTCCCCCTTTTTTTGTTTTTTTTTTTTTTTATTTTAATCTCTAGATTCAGAAAAATATCAACAGCTAGCAATACCCAATTCTCCTGAGGCAGATCACTAACCAGCTTGAATCATTATAGGTCCATTGACTGAAGTAACAAACTTAAGGGCTCGCTAGCCGGAGCGGGCCGGGACGCCGTGGGAGGCGGCAAGGGCTTGCTCACATTTAGAGGGCAAGCCGCTACACAGACCTCATCTTAAGCACCCCCTGTGAATTTCAGCCCACGCGAGCAACCACTCACGTTAGAAAGATAACCCAAATCACGCCGCAGCCAAGGAGGGCTCCCAAGCGGCACGCGGCCCCGTGAAATTATGGCCCTGATGGCCCTACCGAAATTATGATAATCGTATCGGAGGCCTGGATTTCCCTTCGGCTAGGCTGCTGATCGTTCACTCCTGGGCCCGAGCAAAGCGTCTGTCACGTTCATCATGCAAATTCCTTTGACGGCTTTTTGGCTAAAGGTCCTAGTGAAAGTAGAGCGAAGTCTCCAAGCTGGTAAACAAGTACCGGGAGAAAAAAAAGGAAACGAGAATCATCCCAAAGAAAATATTTCACAGATGATCTATTAAGCACTTCCGAAATCACTACGACAGCTTGCTTCAGCTATGACTTAGCCTCAGGCATAGCATTTTGTCTTCCTCTTAGCACTATTTACAAAAATTTCCACAACAGTGACTGGAACAAAATTAGGCTATTTGCACAGAAGCAAAACTAGGCAATCATGTTCCAGACATTACAGATTCTAACAGCACCATGAATTTTTTGATGGGACAGTAGGAGCTTGTTAGAAAACAAGCCCTGAAAGGGCCAGTATCTTCTACCTACTCTCCAGAATTAGTGTTGTTCAATTCATCCTTAAGTATAAACCTAAACGGAAACATCGCTTATGAGCTTGAGGGATGTTTCTATACTCCGCAGAACTTTGTGGCTCATCAAATAGCTATATCAAAAGCTTCTTGGCAAAGCTAAAGGTTGCCTGCCCAACGGTGGTTTCCTTTGCAACGGCTACTACAGACAACGTAGCAACTCCTTCAGTGGGATGAATGACAACTGCCGCAGAGCTAGCAAATATTGTTGAACTGAGTCTGAAGAGGCAACAGGTCATTTATTACAGAATAAATGGAATTATCCCTTATTGCCCCTTTGTGGTAATTTCAAAGCTATAATCTCTGTAATTGGAGGTGAGAAACACGAATGAGCATTAAGAAACACTTTCGATAAACAACTATCTTGCTCGCTCAGACGATACACGCTATTTTCTTTGGCAAACACAACTGAAAGCCTTCCTTTTATTAATGCGGCAGATTTTAATTATTGTGACACTTACCCTTCTGCTCTCAAGAAAAGGATGCACAGATCTCAGGATCAGTAAAAATATGATGACTGAAAAAAATTTGCTTCCAAAACATGCAATGTACTTTTAACCCATAGTAGGCTACTTTCCATAAGCAGACTGCTCCTCCGTGCATCGGGTGTGCAAGGACTTTCAATAAAAAAGGAGCGAAAGGATTGCACGGTAGCATTCCCCAGATACATATTTCTACTGCTACAGTAGAGCGTCTTGAACTTACAACTCAAAAACTGCCAGAGGAGGAGAACTTACCCCAGAATAAGGTGCAAGACAGGAAAACTACTCAGAAACTCAACAAATGATTTCTGGTTGTGACTAAAGGATTAGGCAAGTTACTCATATTTCTTTAAGTTTCAAAACTATTTCATGTGAAACTTCAGAAAGTCTATGAAGTGAACATATGTTGTGCCTTAATGCAAGCAATGGGTGAATGCACAGGGAAACTATTTTCTTGCTTACAGGTTAAGTAAAGATTTGGGCAAATGTTTAAATGTTTAAAATGTTTCAGGAAAAACAAAAACAGCTGGCTGGAATTCACTTCAGCATCTAGATATGACTTTAACTCACCCTCTGGTAGAATATTTTGTTGGATAAGCCCGCTGCAATGGTTTATTGATTATATACAATGTGATGACTATCCACATATGAATTTTCGTTACATACAGGAAAAATGAGCAAACCTCAGAACCTACAGCTCTACAAAAAATGGCCTAGCTTTAATTCTCATTAAAGAAAAAAAAAACCCATTATGCTATTGTATTTGGTTTCTGAAGCCAATATACAGAACCAAAAATGTTTTTGAGTATTAAGCCCTACAGAGATACAGACATATGTACCCACTTCAAGAGCCAGGCTTCTCTAAGTATGCATCGTAATATGTACTACACATTTTTGTACTCTTCAAAGAATACTCATGGTATTAATTAGATTACCCCTTACAGGAGAAGGATAACTGAATTGATAATTGTTGCTAATAATTTCTCAGTACAGGTACAACCGATCAAATAATTGCTCTTTACTTATATCAACAATATTTTTTGATGTTCACATTTTTTGATATTAGCTTCCAAATATCATAATCACACAGCTATGCCATAAAGAGGTAATCAAGTAATTACACTGCTTCAAAAAGTTATTTATATTGATATATAAAAATATATAACATATACCTATCCCTTGAAAAATAAAAATTACCTACTTCTAAATGATTCTAAACAATTCGCGTTGTTTTTTCTGGAAACAACTCATTTATTTTGTCAGGGCCACTCAAGTCCGTAAGACCTCCGCTTTCGCA